AAATGCTTCCACTTACGAAGATTTCATTTATTTGGGAAATTTTGTTCAATTCCTCGTGCTCATACCTAAGTGGATAAAATCGGATTATTATTATTATTGCTACGTCGAATCAAAAACTATATAATAAAAACTTTGTGGGGGAATCATTACAATAAAATAAAATGTGAAAAATTCTACGGGTGGGCCCCAAACTCTTGAACATGGACATGGTAGTGTGTCATTGAATATTTAAGAATTCATCATCCACCGATAATTATCTTTTCTCTTAAACAGTATTTAAAATAATAAGATTATCCTTTCTCTTATATATTCTTTAAAATGATAAAATTACATAAATAATTTAAAAAGACATTTAATTCAATTGATTGAACATGATTAGTAAGTTGATATAAATTATCTAGTAACAAGATTGATTCTCATGAATTAAAAAATATATATATCATTTGTTCAACCCATTTATTAATATATATCGTTCTAATAAGAATTGATTTAAAAAAATTTCAATATTTGAGAAACTATTTAGCATGATTTATAATACTTAAAAATATATTTTACTTTTAAAGTGAATAATATTTGAAAAAAATGATTTATTCGATATTTAGTATTCCAATAGGTTAGCAAAACCAACGATATTATTTTTATATACATAAAACGTGAATTTCAATCATTAAATAATTATAAGTTCTCCTTACAACATCCTCTTACTAATTTGTTTGCTTATTTTGTATGAAAAGCATTAAATACGTGTTATATTTTCAAGATATTAAATATTACTTTTTCATTTAATACTTTATTAATAAGTAGAATTTTTTTTTGAGAAAATTAACAATAGGATATACCAAAGGATTCTATCTCACTAAGTTGAACAATTAAGTGAGTTGTTATAGACACCTGATACCATGCTCAATTCTGATAGATTAAAAATTAAGAGGATATATTGCTCTACTCATTTTATCTTGTATCCATGATCCACACAGAGCCACACCTCCCATGGGTTGATTTAAATTCTCAATGAAAAGCCGAAATTTTGAACATGATCATTTGACAACCATATACATGTTTTTATTATTTTCAATTATATGATGAATGGATTTCTATTCAATATACATATTTTGTTCCTTTGGGAGGCCAAGCATATTAGCAATTCGCGTACAATTGTTTCCCTTTCATCAAAAGGGAAGCTGAATTTCACATCAAATCATCTTGGTCTTCGAGAGACCGTTTACGTGCTCGCAGATTGAGCTTAAGACTCTCAGGTAGAGGAGGTGTCCTCCCTCTGCGGAATAGAACTGCAAGAGCCCTCATTTTCTGGCAAAGATCAAATATCTGCAAGAAATTATCAAAGCAAATGTTAGGTATAATGTTTTCAAACAGAGGAGAGGGACAATAATAATTGCCTAGTTATTTGTACCGATGAGGCTTCTATCTCGGCAACACCCTCACAACCTTGACCACCTCCTTCTAGCAAGTCACAATACTTTACTGCCTCATTTTCATCTTCAAATACCTGCAACCATATTGTCAAATTGTAATTGATTACTGTTTCATTGCATATGAAAATTAATCCAATGCACAGGTCCTATGGTAGCATGGGGACAAAACAATGCACTAGTACTTCTTCAAACGCTCTCAATGTAGTTCTTCAATGTTTGGTTTTACATCCCATTATTATGTTGTGATTCACGTTTATTTGAACGTAAAAGCAACTAAATATTGTGTTGGTGATGTGCAACCAGCTTGTCTATAGTGAATCCAAACACATGGCAAATAGAATTATAGTTTACTTGTTAATCAATGTAATAAAAGTTGAGAAGTGTTACCGATGTACTCTCTCATTAGTTAAAATTTATTAAAAATTACAAAATATTAGTAGGATTCATCAGATAAGGAATAAGACCCACATAATTATATGATTTTCAACAAGTTTCAACCAACAACAAATCAATAGTAAAGTGGAGAGATTGGTAGTGTATTGCTAGAATTTCTCACATAAGTTCGCATTGAAGATCAATGTAAGTTACCAAAAGTGAAATTCCAATTCTAACTAGAGATGACCGCCAAAAGAGAATAAAGTCTCAATTTCTTCCCTCAAGCATTACCATTTATCCTAAATAGTCCTTAAAGTAATCAAGTAATATAGGAAGCACGTACAGGCCTTTGGGCTGCCGCATCCCTGGATCGGAAACAGATCCGACACAGACATGGTGCAATTGCGGCACGGATGTAGTGTCGGACACAGCCCAAAAAAACTGACATGACCCAGTCGTCAGACACTTTGACACAGGCATGATCCAACACTGACAAGAGCCGGCCCAACACTCTGACATGTGGATTCAGGATTAAAAATAAAATCTTGTTAAAAAAGAAACAAGGAAAGGAATGGTTCTCTCTTCTTGGATCCTTACTTAACTTTCACGTAATAGAACCAAAGCCAAAGAATCAGAACCAACCAGAATGCCATTCAACATTCATCCATTGTGCAAGTCGTGGCATGGTAAAGTCTTGTCTTTTTTCATTTTCTCTAATCTCTAATCACTGAAAATGGAACCATTTTTTTAAGTCTTTCTTTTTCATTTTCTAATCACCACGCAATTGATATAAGGTCACTAACTGAAAAAGTTTGGACATATATCAGTTTTATGTATTTGTTTTAATTTTTAATTTTCTATTATTTTCATGTATCTGTTTTTTTTTTCGATTTCAGAACATGAAACAATTTCTGATGCTCTATTATTTTTTGTCACTATTTTTTCATTTTTTTTGTTAATTAAAGAGCATGAAACTAATTTGTTTTTGAGACTTAGTAAGTTATTGTCATATCAATATATTTTTTTTGTCATGTTATTCATATTATATATATGTTGTATCTTTGTGTCTTGTGTTTTTTGATTTTGTTGCATCACTATGTTTGTCTGTGTCATGTCCGAATTTGTGCTACATAATAAGTAGTCCCTAAAATATTAAATATTCATCAGTTTAATCTGAGTTGATATATTTTATTGATGGTTAAGGACTAATTTGAGGGATTATCCTTCTATACTTAGAAGAAGTATGAATTCTAATACTTGACAAATTACTTATATAACTTTGTTATGTTAAACTGTTAGAGACTATTTAGGGAAAAAAATAATATTATTTTAAGGATGAAATTGATGGTTTATTTGTACCAGAAGTACCTTAGAAAACTGCATTTAAGTTTTATCTATGGTTCAACTTGTTATTTAGGGTAGTAGGGTATAAAAAGTTAATCAAAGAATTTTATAGTTTACAAGTTGCATCCTAATTCACACATAACAAAGTAATCATCACATTACAGTTGAAGTATCGATATAGTAACAAATTCCTTCAAACAAAAGGGAAGCACATAAATCAGAGCATTTTGCCATTTTCAGATGCATTTCACACTACAAAATGTTTGCCACGTGCGGAATAAACATAAAATATGGGCCACAATGTGTGGGCGTGTGAATAAAAAAGAAGACATACCAGCACTCCCTCTCTAACATCCTCCACAAGCATTTGAAACTTGTTAGTCCCTCCCCTCGCTTGTTTGGACTGATTTCCAATTCCAGATCTCCACTTGCCTCCTTTAGAAAACAACAACCCAAGCTCTCGTTCAACCTCACTGTCACACATAAAGCACACTCACTCAGGAAGGGGAAACAAAACGCCGAACACCACTCAAGAGAAAAGCAAGGAAGATCAAATCATCAATCAAAGTAAACACCTACTTTGATCCTCAATTTGGAAGACATTGTTATATTAATTTCTAAAACTAAGAAATTGCCAAATAAATTTTTAAATATATCAATATTATATTATTAATTTAGTCATACATTTTTTTTTTTATGGTTTAGAATTCAAGTACATATTTAAGAATTTCTTAATTTGATAATGAGAAAGTAAATAAAGAAATTAATACAAACCTTCTATTTCTGCGGGTTTTCATGGTGCACAATTGGTTCTCCTTTTGCGTGAGCACGTAGACGGGCTTCGAAGTCTCCCTCCAAGGGTTGGCATCCAAAACTGGTGAAAGTAAAAGGAAGAGAGAATTAGTAATAACGAATTGTTGATTGAGAGAGGAGAAGTTGAGTTTGTGGTGGTGGCAGTGTACCGTCGTAGCTGCTGGAGTCGAAGGATTGTTGGAGGTTGCGGCGCATGTCGTAGGCGCGTGAGGAGACGCGTTTGACGAACTCGTTGGAGGTGCCGGGAATGGTGCCGTCCATGTGAAGGGCGCGGTCGAGTTCGTCGTCGGTGCCGTCGCCGGCGAGGGCGCATGAGAGGGAGACGCGGCGGATTCTGGTTCGGGCGGAGAGGAGGCGGGGAGGGAGGCGGCGGAAGGGGCGGCTGGGAGGGAGGGCCATGGAGGGGGAGACGGAGGGAAGGGAATCCATTAATACAACTGATTTGATTAGGTTAGAGTGATTGGTGAGTTACAAGTTTGAAGAAGAAGGAGAGAATTTAGAGAGAAAAAGCAAAAGGAAAGTTGAAGTTGTGAATCCAGTGAATTGGGAGGGGATCTCAGATTTTTTTGTTAAGGTGGGGTCCACGTGGATCTTATTTCTTCTAAGTTGGCGCAGCTCACCAATTAAGACACGCGTGCCCATTCTCCTTCTTTCGCGCACTGAACTGCGCTTCGTGATCATTTTGTACTCTACACTACCTACTTACTTACGCCACCCAACCATCTTTCTTCCTATCGCTATTCCTTTACGTACTTTCTACACACTTTCTTTTTATTAAGATATGAAATGATTGTATCATAATTTTGATAAAAATAAATCCTGATTATGCGTTCACTGATTTTTTTTTTTTTTTTATAATTTACTTAATTAAATACTTTTATAAAAAGATTATCAAAATAAACTTTTCAGAGAAGATAATAGGAATTGCTTGTTCAGCAAAGTTTCTATGCTTTCTTTTCCCCTACGCACGAGTGTGAAAGCTCTTTAGCATATGTTGATTGAAAATTACTTGCATCAAGTAAACGCTCTTACAGATCAAAAGAAAAACACAAGGAAGAGCCAGCAAGGTATCATTGAAAATTACCAATCATAAACGTAACAATGGAGAAATAATTGCAGGGTTATGATACCAACACACATGTCATATGTTTCCTATATACAACCGAGTACATAAAAAGCATTAAACGTTGCTTCCATCCTGTTGAATGTTGTATCTTGCGTATAATAGTTAATGAGATAGCTTGTAGAAAAGAATAACAACTATGGCAAAAACAAGACCTCCAATCACAGATGCAACAATCCATTTGTTTCTAGTTATTCTCCTTGACATTGTAGTTAAAACCTTCTTACTCTTGTCGATGGCGTCATCAATCCCATGAAGCTGTAAGACAAACAAAATCAACCATCAACAAGCAACCATCACAACTTCAATATTTCACTTGTTATTTTGAAGGTTCGCAATCATATTTACCGAGGAAAAAGTATCATGATTGGTTTTAAATTTTAATACTTCTTACAGAATAAGATCATCTTAAGATTGTTTCCTAGTGAATGAAAAAATGACAAAAACTACCTGAAGTTAACATAATCAAAGAACCCCTTTAAAAAAAAAAACATAGCATTCACATATCAGCATACCCTTTTATGGGAGTTCAGTAGAGTCTCTCTCTGACTGTGCAAATCTTGGAGGATGGAGACACCGAGTTCTTCAGTCTCGAGCAAGGTTCTATGGCTTTCCCTAATTCTCTCACTTGACTGGTTTGTTCTCTCCACTGACATAGTTAATCTTTCTCTCTGATCAGCAGATGCCTGCAATATTGTACATATTTTCCCGCCAAACAATGGATTAACATTTAACAGCATCAGATCCACTGCACTCTTTGGCTTACAAGTGCAATCAATTTCAAAAACCTATACTAATTTCAAATTTTAAAAAACAAAATATTGGGATAAGATAAACCAAGCTGAGATATTCATATGCACACGTCTGCAACCTTATTTGCAAGAAACAATCAGTTTTATTCTGATCACAGGCATAATACTCTCATTGATCATACATATATGCCAAGCTTAATAATAATAATAATAATGCACAGGATGTAAAAACAATGGCAAATTGCAACCATTCTACAATAAATACTCCTGTAATAAAATAGCCTCTAATTATACTGGGCACAGTAATTGATCAAACCCACATTCGGTCAGAGTTATTTCTTCAAACATCAATCGTGTCCAGGAACTAGAAACATAAATTCTACTATAGAATTCAGGATTAAAAGAGGTTAAGGGCATCTCCAATAGAAACAACTCATTTGAGTTGCTTCATGTATTGAAAAATGAAAAAAGTGGTCCCTAGTGTGCCAAGTCAGTATTAAGCAACTCAAACACAAATTTACTTCAATGGTAAGAAACTTTAAGAAATTCAACTTTTAAAAAAAAAATTTCTAATCATTTATGAACCAATTTTAAATTTTTATTAAAAAGGATAATTACACTACAATGAAAGAAAATAAATTACGAGAAAAAATACATAATAAGTAGATATTAAAAATAAAATAAAGCAATAATAAATACATGGACATTATACGAAATTAATTTTCATCATTATTATTTCCGAGACATTTCCAAATATGTTCAATAAGATCTGCTTGAAATCTGGTAAGAAACGGTTGCTTGAGGAAGCAACTCTCTCTCTTTTTCAAGCAACTCATGTTGCCACGTTAGAGTCCTCCAATGGCAAGAAACCGGGGCTTGAGTTACTTCATGGGTCAAGCAACTCCCATTGGAGTTGCTCTAAAGATATCAACATTAAATACCCTGACATGATGTACTAAAAAAGAGGTAATATAACAATGAAAAAATAGTAGTAAATTAGTGATGTAAATGAGTGCATAATTATGGAAACATTTTGAAGAGTCTTAATGGTAGCTACTGTCATAAACCAACTATCCCAAAAGCTTAAGCTACTAGGTGAAAACACCTGAATGATGTTATACTACATTCCTACCATGTCCCCTCATGCAAGAGCCCTTTGGGCTTGAAATGTAGACAATGCACAGGTCCATCTATATCACGCTGTAATTATAAACATTCAATCAATCAAAAGTGTTGAAACTAAAGAATGATATGTTATTTCATGATTACTATACTTATATACAAAGCTGCGAGAATCAATCTCATAAATTTAGTAATTAGAATCCATCTACCTAAAGAAACTATGGAATGAGAGCAAAATTTGCCTAATTACTTTAATGGACAATATTTCCTTAATTATACCAAATACCTAATCAAACTACATAATTTGGGATTGAAGAGTGAAGAGGTTGTGACAAATATGATTGTGTTATAAAATGTGACAAATACCTAATCAAACTACATAAATTCTACTATAAAACTACCTAATCAAAATACTTTAATGCATATGATTGTGAATGTAAAGCTTAATTAAATATTTGATGTGTTATAAAAAAAATTTCTCTTTTATTTATGATATATTATATGCATATATATGAATTTTATGAATATTGTAGAATCTTACACTTTTGTGTTACGATTCCACCATTTACAATTCTGTTTCCCCTTCCTGGGGTCTGAATAAATTCTCAAGTTTGACCACCTTGGTCAGAATGATGACACAACAATGGGGGATCAGCAACAGAGACCAAAGATTATTTGAAACATGCCAGAAAAATGAATGGCGGATGAGATAGGAACCAAGAGAGAAACAAAAGTGTTAGGGCATGCCAAATATGTCAATGGTAGAACCGTAGAAGAAACAATGTAAAAGATGACCAGAATAAAGAACACACCAAGAACTACCAAAAGGAGGACAAGGTTGCCAAAGAAATTATCTAGAACACACCAGTAAAATGCATGAAGGAAAAGATGAAGAAAGAGATGGTTGGAATGAAGAACACAACTGGAAGAGGACTGAACTCGCAGTTGTACTAAGGAATAAGTGAATAACAAAATAGAAGGGAGTTAAAAAGCCGCAAGATGTTGGAGGAAAGAATGGAAGATGATTAATTTGCAAGAAGAATCACAAAATTAAAGTAGAAGTCGAATTTTAGGGAGCTTGGTGATGAAGTAGTGATGAGACAGGCCATAAAGCATAGTAGTTCTTTGATACCATGTTGAAATTAGAGATTAGAGAATGATGTTTATGTAATGATAACAGTACTATATATAAAAGGCTGAGAACCCAAGTCCATAAATTTATGTGTTTTGTAAAATTAGCTTAAAAGTTAGTTGAAGTTGAAGCTCATAAACTATAAGGGCAAGTTTGAATAAGTTTCTCCAGAAGCACTTCTGGGAGAATAAAATAAGAAGAAAAATCAAAATAAGTTTCCCCATAAGCTAAAACTAGCTTCTTTATGAGTTAAAATAAGATTCTAGACAAGCTAACAAGATAAAATTTTTACAAATTAACTTATGCATAAGCTAATTTTAGCTTATAAAAGCTTATTTTATCTTTTCTTCCTATTTTTCTCTCCTAGAAGTGATTCTGGAGAAGTTTATCAAAACAGATCCTAAGCTAGGAGCTGAAAAGCTAGAAACATATAAGCTAACTAATTGAATTAAAAGTATGTGATAAGATTAACTAATAAGCTAGCTAGCAAGTGTAAAATGACATAAAAGGACATATTTAGTTATTGAGGTAAAAAAGGATTTCAACTAAATTAATGAGGATAAAAATGAAAAAACAAAAAAAGTTAGTAGCTTATAAGTTAGCTTATTTTCATCAGCTATTTCAAGTAGCTTTTGAAAATAAGCTAGCTTATAAGCTATTAACTCTTCTTTTTCTTTTTTGTTTTTTCTTTTTTAGAAGCTACTAAAATAAGTTCGTATACCTACCGAACAAACTTATTTTGGTCAAACTAGCTTATAAGCTAATTAGACTAACTTATAAGCTCCTTCAATGTCTTGCCAAGCACACTCTTAGATATTAGAATCAAGGATAAGAATCAATCTACATATAGAAATAATGGACAAAATACTGGGATTTTTCTAATCACATCAATGGACAATATTTACCTAATTATACTAAATATTTCAACAATATTTCCCACAATATCTCCAAAAAAGATTGATTTGTGAAAAGCCTTAATAGTGGTTACTAACTTACTATCATGAACCATCTGAAAAGCTTAAGTTGCTATACTAGGTGAAGATACGTGAATGGTTTTATATTATATTTCTAACATGACCCCTTACACAAGAGCCATTTGGGCTGAAAGCAAAGACAATGCACAGGTCCACCTATCTCATGCTGAAATTAAACCTCTTTATCAAACTCAACACTTGGTCATAAAAGCTCTAGTACAATGTCATGGACCAATTATCCTAAAAGTTTAAGCTGTTAGAAGATACAATAAAGGTTATACTACCTCCGTCCCTAATTATAAGACTTTTTCAATTAAATTTAGTTAAGAGCATTAAATTTGTCAATAATTTAAACCACTTTTCCAAAATTATCCTTGACATTTCTTAAATTAACATTTTATCTTTCCACTTAATTATTTTCCACCTAATTAATTAATGTTTGGAAGAGACAGATATCTGTGTCTATTTATTTTCTCCAATCCAAATAAAAGAATCCTAATAAGAGAGAGAGAGAGTTTTATCCAATTAATTTCAAGCATTTATTATCTTTTGTCTAATTAAATAAGGATATTTTAGAGAAGATATAATTAATGCATCTAACAATTAGAAGAGGATCTTATAATAAGGGACAAACAAAAAAATGAAAAGGGTCTTACATATATAGGAACAGAGACAGTATATTTTTATCATATTTGTAATAGTTACTTCAATTAACAGGTCAAGATATATTCATTCATGTTCCAAAGAGAAGAAAAACATTTCATATTATCACAAACAAATAAAAAGAACTAGAAACAGAACTTTTTTCCTAATTTGGATCTCTCTAACCAAGAAAGTCACAAGCTCCTTTCTTTATTTTAATATTTTTAAGAAAAGGAAGGAATGATGTTATCAAGTAATATAATCCAGGGTTCAAAATATACCAAATGTGTATCTGCCATTCCAGTCTCCAACAATTCTTCACGGGCAGCCTCATCAGCACTAGGTGATGTTATCCTTTTAAATTCCTTTTTCAAATTGGTTAGATCGGATTTGTATTCCCTTAACTTTGCAAGAAGCATTGCTTTTACACTTGGCTGCAAACTTCTAGCCTCAAGGTCCATTTTCCGAATCTGAAGAGAGAAGAGTGATATATCATATAGAAAGTGAATAGAAGATAAAGCCTACAAAAGCAAAGCAAAGGCACTTAAGAAAACATTTCATATTTTACCATACCAGAACATCAGCGTCATCAAGTCCGGTTTTGATCTCAGAAAGCTTCTGCTGCTTCTGTTCTGAAAACAGTGTTAATTAAAAAAAGATTTAGTGTGAAAGTAAATGATGAGCCATCATACATCTTCATTTCACATGTGAACACTCAAGATAACAACCGACAGGCAGCAGAGCAAACTAAATCCTCCACCACCTCCAGATATTTTGTTTAAGATTCCACTTCTAACAAGTAAACACTATTAACAAAAGCAAACAAACCGATGTCACCAGGGACATTAAATTGGACAGCAGCAACCAGCAAACATGACTAGTCCCAACAATATAATTAACTCAACTGCTCAATAATATAGGATACTTCATCAAATCATATAGATCGAATCATTTAGAAGTAGCAAAAAATCATTGAATAACAGAAAAATAATAACTTTTACTTGTTTTGACCACACCTTGACACTCAAATAGTTTCTAGCACAACAAATTCTGGATAATAATCCGTATAGTCTTCTTGCTCAGAGCCAATTTAACACAAGTAAAAGAACAATTATGAGGAAGAGTGCAGCTATGAGATACTCCATTTCCCAATCAGAGTAAGAAAACACAAAGGGCAGTCCAAGACATCAAAACGCAACGCAGAAAAAGAGGTAAAAAAACAAGTAAGAGGGTGTGAGATCAAAAGGGGTGAATCAAACGACAACAAAGTTCGGATTTTGAAGGTACCTTGGTCGGAAACAAGAGACGTGGAACTGCATTTGCGGGAGAGATTAGCAGAGAGCTCACAGTACTGGCGCTCGTACCCTTCGAAGACCTCACTCATCTTGTCACACCCTTTTCCGAAAAGAGGAAGAAATTAAAAATTGAAAATTGAAAATTGAAAATTAAAAATTGGAAATTAGAAATAATAGAGAAACGCATCAATTGAAGGTGGTGGATGAATCGATTTTGCTTACCTTAGTTTGAGTGGAAGGGTGTGAGAGATCTGAACAAGGTTGAGATTTTGGGTACGGTGGTGTTGTTAACAGTGAAAAACGAGCGTGGAAAATTTATGAGGAGAAGGAAGAATAGTAGTATAGTTCTATTAACTATGAAGTTTCCTTTTGCACCTGAGAAACTGTAATTTAACTAACCGTAGAGAACAAGTGCCTGCGGTTCGGACCATTGGTCCGGTACGTTGTGAACATAGATGGTACAAGTCAACAGTCAATTTTTGTTTTTACCATAGCATTGGAGAGGTAAAATTAAAATGTAGTACTCCTTCCCATTTTTATTTTTTTTTATGTTTAAGGTTATGCATAAAAATTTTAAAAAAAATAATTAATATTTTTAATTTTTTAAAATATTTATTATTTATTTTTTTGTTATATCTTTTAGATAATTAGATCAAGGATAAAAATAAAAATGAAAATTAATAAATTATTAATTTTAGAAAAATAATAATAAAAAAAAGAAAAATAATGTCAAAATGATTATAAATAAAAATTAAAAGAGTACACCACGGATAATTAAGTTTCCATATCATAAGAATATATTGATTTTTTAACTTTATAAGAGACAATTAAGTTTTTGTTGGTTTGTTTTTAATTCATAGAAATAGAATATGGCATCTAGAAAGTTTATCATAACTCATATATCATGATTAACCAACTAAATTACATTTCTTTAATTTATTGTATGTTCGTGCGTTTACGAATGAAAGTATCATAATTTATTAAAGATGTTGAGTAAATTCCCGAGCTATATATATTTGGATTGATGGAGGAAAATGAAATAATAAATAAATAAATATAATGAAATAGAGTAAAATGAATTTAGCAAAAATAAAGTCTTTATTTTATTATTTGGATTTTGTAGTGGGGTGGAAGTTATTTAATGTTAGATTTGGTGAAATGAGATAAAATTACTTAAGTTTTTGGCATGTGTTTGAAAGAATAAATAATGAAAATTTATAACATTATCTTATGAGCGGAGAACACTATAGACTCGATATTAATTTATTTTTTTAAATAGTGTAGGTCCATGTCACATTTAAAATACTTCGTATTCTATATTTCTTCCTCTATCACTCAACTTTTATATGTAAATCCTTTACCTAATCGTTATGGGTTCAAACAAATGTTTTAAATCTAGATTAAATTTATGTTTTTTATCACATAAATTTGACATCTTTTTTACTATTAAAACATTACTTTGATGGATATATCTATTTAAAGAGATTTTTTAGTGTTAAAGAATGAAAATCTTCTAATTGGCATACCTATTTAAGAAGATCTCTTCATGCAAGAGGTGACATTCCTTTAAAAACATATCTACTCAAAAAAAAAATTTAGTATCAGCAGTGAAAATCCTCAAATAGATTTTTATTGCTGCTCAATTCAACAAGCAATGTCTTGGATTAAATTGAATGCTACTAGTTCGATTAAATAATAAGTGAATATTAGAGCTTAATCTAAAGATCTTCGGTATGATATTAACCCTCTAGCTAATAGTCATAGGAGTGTGATCTCCAATTTAACATTTTAATAATTAAAATTAAAATAAATAAATTAAAAAAATAAAATAAAATAAAATAAAACCTCTTTCACATATGAATTCCTTCAACTGTCCACCTCGCCCCCCCAGGCCTCTACGCCAAGCCCAATACATCTTTGTTGTTGTAGCCGTCCAACCCAAACTTAGATGCAAGCTCAATTTAATTACTACAAAGTGTTCGGTTTCAGTTATGGTTTGTTCACAAGAGATGATGTTCCTCCTAAGGCTATCATTTTCCCCTTTCACTTTTCTGATGTTTCTAGTTGATATAATAAAATGTTTTTCATTCTTAAGATACTGTAGTTTATATAAGAAACAAATCTTTTTTTTAAGGGTAGATTCTATCATGAACCATCACTTAAATGGTCCATTAGTGAGCCATTATTGACATACATTAGATATAATATTAAATGTCTTGTTTCACTAAAATTAGATAGGTGACATGTGTGATGCATGAAATATTTTATTTTTTTAATTCATTAAATTCTTAAGTATTAAAAGTTATAATTTTAAATATATCATGTAATATTAATGTATTATTATTTATACAAAATTAAAAATATTGAATTAAAACTACATTATTTATGTTCATTTTTTAATATCAGACTAATTCTCACAATGTTACTTAATAGTATAAGAGTGTTTATGTTAAACATCTATCTATCTATTTATAATATAAAACTCAAGCTACTTTGCATATTATAAATAGATAGATATATTTTCATAATTACAAACTCTATATCTTTATGGTCACAAAACCTAAATACTTGGAGCACCCGCTATAGCTGCATAGCATATCCATAACTCCTCTACCTGCAATGGTCATACTAACCTCCTCCATCCCCTATTCCCCAAAATTGTGACAATCATTTCTCTATCGCATTTATCGACCATTGTCACCTCCCCACCCCATAAACCTCCAATACTCACTAGTCATGGCTTCTCCATTGAAGCAAAATCGCAACATTCATACCCTTATTATTTACGTGGGATGACGTACCTTTGTCGCGTACGTGGGATGGCCGCTCCTCCATTGTCTCCACCTTCTCCCATCTCAACGGTCACTCCTCCATTGTCGAATATCATGAAATGTTTAAATACTAATTTTCATGGATTTTTCTTTCACTAAATACTTAATTTGATTTCACTCACATGATTTGAGATTTGATAACCCATTTAACAAAACATGTATGTTTCAAAAAAATTTCTTTCTTTATTTATTTTGTTCTCTTATCACATCATTCTTTTTTCTTAAAAGAGTTAAGGCATACCCAACCTACCTTTACATGAAAATATGACATAGCTACAAATATATAAATATATTCAAGAAATTGATAGAGTTGATATACAAATATGAGGTGTTTTTTTTTTTCTCACTATATTCTTAGATTGTTTCCTGTAAGATATTTTGACAAGCGAAACAATATTCTTATATTGTGAAATCAATGGTATGATGTTTTGTTTTGATTAAAAGTAAGTTTGATTGCTAATAATATATTTTATTATAATTTTTTGTTCTCTAATTTTTTTGTTTTGTTTTACAGGTTAATTAATTTAGAAAAGATTATCAAATTTCACACACAAAATATGTAATAGAGTTTGAATTAAATAATTTTAATGAATGTGTAGAAGAATATTATCTTACCAATCTTCTTCTCCTAATTTGTCACAAACATATGTAGATATCTTACATATAATTATTATGCATTAATTATTTCATTTTAAAAAATAATAATAATTTAATATAATTGTAATCTCTTTAAAATATTATATATACATTTTTTTACCCGTGCAACTCATGTGTCAACACTTTAAAAATGGGATTGAGCTTAAATCCAATAGGTGGATTGAGTTCTGCCAAAAATGGGAAACTGATTAATTAGGCAAATACCATGCAAAAATTCATGGAATTGATTTTGTTGTAATCTTCATTCAGTTCCAAATGCACAATCACTTACTAAACCAGCCTTGAATCCTGCAATTCATTCAGCTCATTTTTCCTTTGTAAGTGGAGATTGGTGGCTCTGATAATATAAGCCATGAAAACAAAAAAAGGCTTCCCATATATCAAATAATTCACTTTGGTAAATTAAGGAAAGGAGTTAGACTATCACATTTAATTCAAGCAAAAATAAAATGGATCATTATTAGAAACTTATAATTTAAGGTAGCTATATCAAAATTTATGTTGTACAACATTTTTCTTGAAATCTTGACAATTGGCTATGGATCATAATAGTTTATGACTCATGACAATCCAAGACTAAATATGGTTATATTATCACTTTTAACAATGTTCTCGAGTAACAGTGAGTTTACCTTGGAAAGATAATGGGAAAAAGAAAATCATATCATCACTATAAGATACAAAAAATAGTATTTATAATTGACTATAAATTTATAATAATATTTGTACTTTACTGTATTATTCAAATCTTACCTTAAATGGATTAGTATTTCTTTGATGGAATTGTGGTTGAAAAGAAATTTCTACGCTTTGATGGATTAGCTTAATGACAATGAATGATGCGTGGCTAATCACTTGTTAAAAGCTTGCGCTTCCTAGATGAAGAATTTCCGCTGGACATCATGTTTAGGTTTAATTGTTCAAGATCCTCCTTAAAAACACAACAATACCCACAATTTTTCACCTCAAAACGCAAATCTTTAGGCTGATTAAATATGGCAATTGTGAATCCCATTTTATCAAGATCACTCATTTCGTCTTCATATAGACTTAGATGATGAATGTCTTTCCCGAGAAAGAAATAATATGAACAAGTGATCTATTTCACTCATGATTAGATCATTGTTTAAAGCTATATATTGGAACTACCCAATATGTTTTCAGCAAAACCTAATTATTTTGAAAACTATGTGCATGTTTGGATTTGCGTTTGTAAAATTGATTTGCGTTTTAGATCTCTCAATTTTCTAAAAAAATTGCTCTTAATTCTTATACTTTAAAATTAATTATTTTAATCCTTGTAATTTTTATATAATGTCATTTGAATATTTTGCAAGTGATGTGTGTTTAATATATAAGCGAGTTTTATGTTAGTCAATGAACACCTAACCCTTTTCCTTAACTTGAGTTTGAGATTGAATATAAACATACATACGGAGTATTTATATAGGGATGTAATTCACTCTAGCTGAATTTTTTTTTAATAAAGGGGTGAAATTAACCAAATATAAAAAATACAATGACCAAGATAACTGTTTTTAGAATACAGGGATTAAAATGAAATTTAATTAAAAACAAATGAAACTTCAAACACATTTGTATTATCTGTTTGAACTTGGAACTTGGAAAGATACTGGGATTTGAAGTTGAATTCTGTAATATTAATATAAGACATACGTTTTTTTCATAGGAAAATATAAGACATGAGTTGAAATTATGAATCTTTTAATTCTCTAGTAACTATGTACAACAAAAAAGTAGAATAGAACAGCAATTTGAATTCCCCCATCTGCATATAATTAATTAATTGATTGCCCACAATTTCATATTATATGAATTTTCCTTTGTCGTTATATTAACAATTTCTAGTTTCTGATAG